AATTTCATACCAACTTTTGAGTTTATGCCATACAGGTCTGTGCTCATTCTACAAGGCAACGGAGCTGATGTTGCAAAGCATTGTGTACCGGCCGTTCCTTCTAAAAGGTAAAGAAAAAGAAAATCTAGCTGTAACAATCATGAACTTGTAGCTCTTAGATGAATTGTGAAGTAAATGTCCAAACATGGCCTCACTGTTTGTTTTCTCTCAAATTTCAATGGCAGGATCTCTGTGACTTTCAGGAAAATGGACGAAAGTAAATTGCCATACAACTTTAGACCAGACCCAGAGCTGTCAAAGGTTGTCCCTCTGGTTCGTCGTCCTCCACCCAAAGAACCATCCCGGGAAACCAATGGCGGGAACCAGAGGGTGGGCCCCGCACAAAACAATCTCGCTTCGAGTGAAGAATACCCTCCCCTCGGAAGCGTCAGCTCTTCCAAGAGGCGCGCGAGCAGCAAAAGCAGTCGCTAGTGTTGTAAAACTAGCGATATTTTTTTTGGGTAGCATTAATGCATTTTTTAGTTTTTTTTTGCACTTTCAATTGTTTGATCATATATGTATTCTGTTCTCTGTAACTCTATAAGGCCAAATAAGACATGTAGCATGTAAACCAATATTCAAGTTTGTAATTTAGAAGTGTTTCTATCTTAGTTTGTTTCACTGTGATTTGTTATTATTTGAGGATTTTAGCTTTCAACCTATTCCTCTTTCCCTTCTTTTTTCAATTTGGGGTCTTATAAGTTTTGCATCAGCAGGTTATTTTAACATTTTCTATCACAACTTTACATAAGTTTTATGTTGTTATGCTAAATTAATATTAAAAAAATAAAACTTATTAATGGATTTATGATCTAACAAGACTATATATACTAGGTTCACAAAGATGAAACTCCTCTTCTCATGTACTTCTTGATTCAAAATTTGTTTGATTTGACTTAAAAAAGTCACGTTGGACAAATATTTTGAGAATATAGCACTTCTTACAATCCACATTAGTGTTCCACAATTGATCGAGCACGGAGATTATAAAATGTAAAACTTTTTAAATGAAAAGAAAAAATTTAGAAGTATCCCAGCCACTGTAAACTAGTTGGGGTACTTCTAGCAAACCTCAATTGATAAAGGTGCAGATGAGAGAAAAATAAAATTAACCACAAATGCTAGAATTATAAACAAAATGCTCACAAAATACACATACTTACCATTTATGTATTATATATACATACCATCTCTAATTCCAGTTCATACTTACCATTTATTTTTTAATTATTTGAGACCATTTTTGAATCCATTACTTTACATGCGGAGTATTTGATAAGTTTGTAAATTTTGTAAGAGTCCGTTTGGTCCACGGAATTGATGAAATTGGAATTGAATTGAAAGTTGGTATTCTATAGAATTGATTTGGGTAGAATTGAATTCTCTAATTCCAGTTCATTTTTTGGCATTATCACTTCCAAATCCACATATTTTTGTGCTATCAAAACTATAATTGAAAGTATTGTCCTAAATTGTAATACCAAACAAAGCCTAAATGTTTTGTTTTTAACATATGAAAAAGGAAAAATATGAAACATTATTACACTTTAATTATCAGACTTCAAATTAGTAGGGACAAAACTACGAGAAGATCGGCATCTAGTCACATTAGTGCGGTCTGTTTTGCTAATCCAGAAACTAATTTTGGGCCGCAAAGGTGATGGGCCCAAACTGCTCAATGCGGCGTCTACATCCAACACGTGTGTAATCCGAGCTATACAGCTAGCCTTTTTCTCAGGTGGGTCTCTCTCTCTCTCTCTCTCTCTCTCTCTCTCTCTCCCTCCCCTCTTTGGGTCATCATTGGGTACTGTTCATCCCTGTTAGCGTTTTCATTTTAGAGAGAGAAACTGATAATTGTAGAGAGCGAGTGTGTGTAGGAAACGGAAGAACGAACGCTTTGTTGAAACATCCGTTCGTTTGATCGAAGGAGAGTTGCGATGTGAAATTCGAATGCATTTCAAGTTGAATAGGTTCGATGATCGGTTATCTTCTGTAATTTTCAGTTTCGGAGCTGTGATTCTGCATGTTTTAGCGGGAAATCGACTGTGTGCGGCTCGGAGGTGAGTTGTTGTGTCGGTTGTTGGACTTGAGTCAGTATTATTTAGCCGGAGGTGTTTAGTGCTGAGTTATGTTGCCGTTTTGTTATTAGCATTCGAATGTATGATTGCTTTCATTTTGTAATCATCTAACTGTTGACTTTAAGGATTTGTATTTGCTTGTGGACGAGTTTACTTTGGATTCGGATTTAGTGTTGGAGTAAGTGGCAAGGCACCTGTGTGATTAATGAGAATTTAATGTATTTGCTTATGGACGAGAAGGCTGATATTTAAACTCAGTTTTGAATTAATTGGAGTAAGTTTTTGTGCTGGTCAAGTATTTGATTAAATTAGGTGTCATTAAAGGAATGCATTGATCTCTTTCAGTTTTAGGATTTTGGTTCCTGGATATGTCTGTTGTATTCATTTCGAGATCTATGATCAGTTTTAGAATTTATGACTAATAACCAAATTGATTTCTCGTCCTTTAGTTGACATCAACTACACAGTTCATATGTTATACTATTGGCTATTTGAATTGGTAGGCGAAACATTGAAATCCTAACTCACTTAAATTGTTTTGGCTTCTAAAGATTATTTATACATATCATAGAACAATGTGATAAGTTCTTGTTGAATTTTCAATGTCAATCTTCTTCAGAAGATATATGATTTAATGCCATGCAGTCCTGCTTTAATTTGGGATGATATATGGTACACAATGTTTTGTTCTTTTGTGAATATGAAGGTGCTTCCACCTTATCCTGCATAAAAGGTTTCCCTGGCTTGATTGGCATGCAGAGAGGCACCTATAAACGGTTGGGGCATTTTACGAGTGGTCATTGATGGAAAGGTATAAAACCATTAAGCTTCTTATGGATTATATATGCTTCTATACGGATTATGTTGAGTTAGTTGAATGTCACTTCTATTGTTCTGTAGGAGTGATGAGACGGTCTTCCCAAATGGAGACATCTACGTTGGTATTATTAAGGGAGGGCTTCCACATGAAAAAGGTAAATATACGTGGTCAGATGGAACTGTTTATGATGGTCATTGGGAAGAAGGAAAGATGAGTGGTAAAGGATGGATCATTTGGTCATCGGGATCAAGTTATGAGGGCGAGTTTTCTGGAAATTATCTTCATGGCTATGGTGCATTTTATGGCCGTGATGGTTCTATATACAGAGGTTCATGGAGGATGAATAATAAACATGGTATTGGAAGAAAAGAGTATCACAATTCAGATGTTTATGATGGTTGTTGGAGAGAAGGGGTACGTGAAGGCAGTGGCAGATATGCATGGAGCAATGGGAATTTTTACATTGGGAATTGGAAAAATGGGACAATGTGTGGTAGGGGTGTTATGAAGTGGTTCAACGGAGATATATTTGACGGGTTTTGGTTGAACGGGTTAAGACATGGGTCTGGCTGTTATAGGTTTGCCGATGGAAGTTACTTTTTTGGAACTTGGGCTAAAGGCCTAAAAGATGGACGTGGAACTTTTTATCCTTTTGGAAGCAAGCTTTCCTCTCTGGATAAGTGCAAGATTGATAAACATCAGGATATTATGAAAAGGATTTTGTCTCATAGGTCTTCAGTAAGTACAGATGAATCTGTTAGACCTAAAGTAAAGCGTAGTCTCTCTGAGAAGATCTCTGCTAGCTTTGGAAAAGGGTCTGGGAGAATATCGCAAAAGACTGCATTACTGGATGGTGACTGGATTCTCGATGGCTCCATAGAAATGATACCAGAAGATGCCTCCTGCTTGCTATCTCACAACTCACTAGATGTTCAAAGTAATTTGTTGGACAATAGTACGGCAGCTTATGAAAGAGAATACATGCAAGGAGTTCTTATAAAAGAAAGGCTTAAGAATGTAACCAGACTATCCCACCCAAGTAAACAGAGGTGCAAGTTTCATGTAAAAGAAGTAAGAACAACTTCATGCATGGACTTCTTTGATGGCCGTAAGAGCTACTACCTGATGCTAAATTTGCAGCTTGGCATCAGGTAAAATTTGAATCATCTCAAATACACTTGCTCTCCTTTTGTTTCCTTGCTTTATGTATAAAGAAAGCAGCACATTCATGGCTTCTTACAAAATCACTATCAAGTTCAAACTTAAAAGTCTACAGGTACTCTGTGGGGAAGATCACACCTGTTCCTATCCGGGAAGTGAGACTATCTGATTTTGGAGAGCGGGCTAGAATAAAGATGTACTTTCCTAGAAAAGGCTCTCGTTTGACACCTCCGCACTATTCAATTGATTTCTATTGGAAGGACTATTGCCCTATGGTTTTTAGGTAGTTAACATCATCTTAACTAATCTTTTATTAATGTTTACTTCATTCGTACTTGCAAATTATCCGATTATGGAAAACGCATATATGAGATTTCACAACTAGTATGGTAAAGAAATTACTCAGTACTTTTCAGGAATTTAAGGGAGTTATTCAAGTTGAATGCGGCAGAGTACATGATGTCCATCTGTGGTGATGAAGGTTTGAGAGAGTTTTCATCTCCTGGAAAAAGCGGCAGCATTTTTTATCTTTCCCGTGATGACAGATTTGTGATCAAAACTTTAAAGAAGCCCGAGCTTAAGGTTTGCATACATTGACGGTTGTAAAAATTTATGGTCAGGTTTTGCTTATCACGGGATATGCAGATATGCCCAACCATTTTCATTTCTCTCTAGTCTTGGCATGAAGCTAGGAATTCTCTGATAGTTTTACAAAATGACTTTTGAAGTTAAAATTGCTTTAATTATAGTCGCAGTATGCGGGTCTCAGAACTCTCCATGGCATGGGACATGACCATAGGTTCTATTCATGAGACCAAACACAGTTCTAATGTTTATAGTGGGTAGTCACATATTATTTCCCCCACATTATAGATACTGTATAAGAACTGAGAAGGATGCTGCATTTCTGATACCGTGATTTGATAATTATTCTAAGATCTAAATGAGATTCTTGCATTTAATGCACAACTGGGGGTTACTGGGTAGAGCTACTCTTCTACTGGGTAGACTTACTCTACCCCTATTTTTTGTTGGTGAAGGAGGCTTACTAAAGCAGGTGAATGGGTAGCTGCAAGTTTGATCGGCTCTCTAAATACTGCATGGTTTTCAATTTTTATTATTTTTACTTAATATTTGTGCAGGTTCTACTGAAAATGCTCCCTTCTTACTACAAACATGTAAAAGATCATGAGAACACACTCATAACAAAATTTTTTGGGCTTCACCGAATATCATTCAGCAGAGGGAAGAAGGTAGGTATTTTCCACCAAAAAGCTCCCTGCATAGTACAAACATGTATAAGAGCACAAGTCAAGAACACACTCGTACTCAAGATGACCTATAATCACATATGCATTTTGTTGTTAGGTACGCTTTGTAGTCATGGGGAACATGTTTTGCACTGAACTACACATACATCGACGGTATGATTTAAAGGGTTCATCTCATGGAAGATTTACAAAGAAAGATGAAATTGACGAGGGTACTACATTGAAAGATCTCGATTTGAAATTTGAGTTTCATATGGATAAATTATTACGTGAGATACTTTTCAGGTAATAATCCCCCCCCCCCCCCATTTTATCTGAATTCAGTACAGCCCATAACTAAAGAAAGCCATTAACATACTCACTATAAACAGTAAAGATATGTCTAAACTCTAACGTGCTACATTTACTGCTTTACCATTTAGCCAGCTTTCTAAAATGGCAAGTAAATCAAACAAATGCATGTGGAATGGAACATTTTAGATAATGGAAAGTTTTCTAAATTTTCTTCTTGCCTGAGAATGACATCCAAGTTGGCTATCCTAATCAGTTGTATAATGATTGCACATGCTACCTAAAAAACAAAAGCCAAAAGTTTCATCATAGGTGTCGGTTTCCTTGTTTAGCAGCTACGAATAAATAAAACTAGAATTGATTATAGCTGTCAGAATTAATTTGGAAATCACCAAGTCGGAAAGTTATAGCAAAGGAAACTAGGTGGAACATATTGAGGAAATTCGGAAGGGGAGAAAATGCCACAGAAAAATAAAACGTTGGAACTCCATAAATTTATTTTGATATTTGTTCTTACTCATTTTATTTGTTTCTATAATATCAAGCCCAAGAGAACTAAACATATGTAAAATTTTAAAAGTGTTAATTATATTTCTTTATCAGTTGAATTTTACAAGGTGAAAAATACTAGTAACTAATTAACTATCATTGGAAATATTTTTCTTTTCCTTCATTCCTTGACATTTTCCAATCCAAGCATGAAACATACCTTTAGTCATGGACAAGAATTTACATTTTTTGCAGGCAATTATCTCTCGACTGTCAGTTCTTAGAAGGACAACACATAATTGATTATAGCCTTCTATTAGGATTGCACTTTAGAGCTCCAGAGCATCTATTAACACTGTTAGAGCCACCCGATTCCATGCACAAACCTGAGATTACTGCCACTGCAATAACTGATGGTAAACGTCGATTCCCGACCCACTTTCCTGTTTTGTTTGGTTTTGTTCAATTTTTCCTTAGTTGCATTCTTCTGTTTTTAGTGTTTCTTACTATATTGGTCAACTTTGTTTCTTTAAGGGGAGACCTCTCAGGGAGATATCGCAATTCCTCCAAGGGGTTTGCTTTTAGTAACCCATGAGCCTAGCTCTGCGAACGATGAACCTGGTCCCCACATAAGGGGAAATACATTGAAAGCCTACTCAGTTGGTGACAGAGAGGTTGATCTTCTTTTACCTGGCACTGGAAGGTATTCCTTCTTCCCATTTCCCTTACTTGGTGAGCCATGACCTTTGGTCCCTGTTGTTCACTTAGAATGTGCCATGTTAGCTCGCCTTTGACCTGGTTGCAAATCAACAAACCCCTGTTTAAGTTCAAAAAAGGGAGAGAAGGGAATATTGAAATGTGAAACAAAATGTGTTTGGTTCAATGGAGGGAGAATAAATATTACTTCAGTAAAATAAATCTGAAAAAATTATAGTAATATACTACTTTGGTTTTGGGTAGTCAGTGCACTGGTGCGTCTAGGGTCTAACAGAAGAACTTCTCTAATTTTCCAGTGTTAACTGTGTACATTTTGACCCCCGGTCCCCAATAGAGTTAGGATTATATTGGGTTATTGTTGTTGTGGTCGTTGTTGTATACTACTTTGGGTCCAAAAAAGAGTTGGTTAAATTTAAGTTATCCTTTGTAATGGTTTGCTTGAAAAAGCAAGCTGGGATAAATGTGAAGTGTTTGACAGTGAGCCTTTCTTGCAACGGGAAAAACATTAAATTTGATTTTTGTTGCATTAAAATTTATTTTGTAATATTCTACTGACATATATGTATTTATGTATAACAAGAATAATGTGCTGCCTAGAACCGTTTTGATGAAAGAAGATGAAGAGAAACAACAGACCCAGTAAAATTAAAATCCCACAAAAAGTAGGGTCTGGGGTGTGTCCCCAATACCCCTACTGGGGAGTGAGTGGCACGAAGATGAAGACTAAATTAAGAAAATTGGGGTAGTGAGTGAGAGACATGGGGAGTTTGGATGAGTCCTCCAACCAACTTAACAAGGTGTAAGGGCCCAAACAATTATTTTCTAAGTGACTTTTTTTTTCTTTTTCTTTTTGTGTCTATTGAGGTTGAGGGTGCAGTTAGGCGTGAACATGCCAGCTGAAGCAACGCACAAGGTTAAGCAGGATGGAACTGAAGAAGAAGGTTCTCCTGAAGTGGAACTGTTTGAGGTGTACGACGTAGTTCTGTACATGGGTATAATCGACATCTTGCAGGATTACAACATCAAAAAGAAGTTAGAGCACGGCTACAAATCGATGCAGATTGATCCGATGTCGATTTCCGCGGTTGAACCCAACGCCTATTCCAAACGCTTTATTGGCTTTCTACAAAAAGTGTTCCCGGCCAAACCTTGAGGTTCAAGCTTACATCTTGTCTTCCTGCCTAACGCATACATGTCTATCTCAGGTATATATTATATTTATATCTAAACAGCTATTTATAATACTAATACTCATTGTAATACCTCCAAGATTTCCAATAGTTTTCGCAATGCGAAAACGGATCAAATCAACACAACGCTTGCATACATACATTAATCACAAGCAATGAATGGACCATATGGTTGTAATCTTACAGCTGAGTTTCATTCACCACACATTAATAATACTCCTTCCCTCTCCAAATCATCTTTTACAATTTCCACTTTTGGATATACATCTGAAAAATCAACTTTATACGGAGTATTTGTTTCTTCACTTTCTCTTTCGGAAAATAAACGCGTACAACTTTATATCTCCCTCTTCAACAACACACTCTTCACATCTCTCATTTTTTTAAAAACTTCGTGAGGTCAAAATGTTGAGTTTATTTGGAGACGGACCGGAGTTGATTGGGAGGGAGGGAGGAGTAATAAATGTGGAGGAGATGCAGTAACGGAACATTTGATTCAGATGCCGCAAAAAAAGGAAAGTGACAACATAGACTCATCTCCTCATCCATCAGTTTCAAGATGCAAGAGTTATAAATGCCTGCATCTCCCAAAAACAAAAGCTAAGTACCACCCCCTAGTAGCTAGCATTAAGTTCTTTGCCCAGCTGCACGCCAGTCTAGCTAGCTTTCAATTATTCATTTTACTCTGAATATGTTAACGCCCTCGTCCGGGCCCCCCATTCAACATTAAAACGTCGCGACTACTCTGCACAACACTTCTTCCGTTCCAAAATGATATGCCTACGTAATTACTTTTTCTATTTTGGATGTCTTAGAGAAAAAGTGAAAACTTATCACCACTGATCCACTTTATTACTCTTAAAAGTGTAGTACTTTTTGTCAAGAAACCAATCCAACTAAAAGCTCAAACTTCTGGTTGTGACACAGAAAATATTTTTTTTTATATTATAAAAATTTTAAGACAATGTTTGTAAAGCACAAGTACTCACAAGTCACAACTAGATTAGCCTTAAGTACGCAATTTGGGATAAAAATTAGGACACTCATAACTTCTTTTGTAGATTAATCTTTAAAAAAATGTACTAAGAACGACACAACACGTTATTGTTGAATAAGACTGGGTATTTTCAAGGACTGAAGTTCAACACTAAAATTGATAAAGAGTGTCAAATGGAGGACTACAAAGTCAGCAATAAATGAAAACTGGTGCGCGGCCTGTGGGAGACGTGCAGAGGGCTGACCGTCGTCACACTCACGGAGGGCAGCAATCGCATGCATTGCAGACCACCAGAGGCCACCACCCCTTCAGTACAGTTACGTCTTTGTTTGGGCTCCTCCCCCTCCGCTCCACTGTCCCCTTCTAATTAATTGCACTTCGTGTGCTGTCCCAATGTGTTGTCCCCTTTTTAGGTCCCTTCAAATTTATTGTGTCATATTCCGTCCGTTCTAAATTAAGCGACACTTTTACTATTTATAGACTTAAATTTTACTTCCTTCGTCATGAAATTAACTTTCATTTTTGACTTTTGTAATCAAACTTTTTAAACTTTGACTGTATATTACAGAAAAAAATTTGAATTTTCATATAAATTTGTTATCAATAGATATATTTTAAAACATAGTTTTGAAATTTATTATTTTTATAATATATATTCATATAAAAATGGAGATATTAATGGTTAAAATGTCGCGTTGGGGACCGCAAAAAGTCAAATGAAAAGTTAATTTTAGGACGGAGGGAGTATTTACTTTATTTTCATATTTTTGTTACTTACTTAATAAAATAATATAGTCATGTCACGTCCTGTTTAGTAAAATGTTTGATGTAGAATTTTAATACACAGTATGTAATTGAATTTTATTTTTTAATTTCATTACAATTCTTGAATAAATTATGCCTGAGTATTGAATATAACTTTAACCAAATATCATAAATCGAAACAGACGACTTACATTGGATTGGAGGGAGTATAATTTTTTGGTATTTATTGTCCGTTTTGCAAATTTATCTGCAAAATAAGATTTATAATACTAATAATGCAAATACCAAAAACATGCCTGGTAATTTGAAAAGAGGTAAATTAAGCTTTAATCACAAATTGATTCCAAAAAAATAGAACATGTATTTGGTACTTCCAGAGACTATGTTTGACATAATTGTCTCTCGGGACAGTTGACAGATTTGAACTAGACAGCTACTCCTTTGACACTCCTTCTCTTGGCAAGGCGCACCAACATTTTGGGAAGTATGTATATAAAAAACAACCACGCTAGAAGTATTCATAGAATGTACCTCAAACACTTCAATGGTTTAGATTGACATAATATGCTAGTCAATAAAATAGGTTTATACTACCATTTTGTGCTTGTGTGAATCATCACTCTAGCATTGACACAAAATAAAGATACATCCATACAATTTGGAATATAGCTTTTGGAGTGTAAGTAGCTTGATGGAAAAATTCACATGAATACTCCAAGAAATTTGTAATTTTATGATAATACTTCAAAATCAAAAAATTTACTCTACTGCTCTAAAAAATTATTCAATTTCACACTAATACTCCAGGCTACTAACTAAGCGAAATATGTGGTGATTTAAATAATAACTTGATAATTATTAAGTATGAGTTAGTAATTAATTAAAAAAATATGAAAATATCTTGAATGCGTTATAATTACCCTCTTCCATGACGATTTCAAATAAAAATGTGTTAAAATTGAAAAAAAAGTGTTTATATTTAAATAAAATAAATTATAAATAGTGTTTTAGATAAAAAAAAATTAGAAAAGTTTATAATTGATTTAGACCAGAATTTATATTTTAAAAATGTTCCCAAGAAATATAAATTATTTGACTGTGAAATATGTACTTCAATTTTTTTTTTATTTTGTTTGAAACATTTTTTTTATTTTTTATCACTCCATTGTTGCCAACACATACTTAATATTTAACAATCACCATTTAGAATGCCGTGTATTTTACTTAGGGGCTGTTTGTTTCAGCCTCTTAATGGTTCAGATGTTTGAATGGTTCAGCACTTAATGATTCAGACTGTTTGTTTCGTGAGCAGATGTCTGAATGGTTCAGACATTTGCCTCTGAATGGTTAAGTATTATACAGAGTATGAATGGTTAAGACCTCTTATCTGAATTGATCAGACATTTGCCTCTGAATAGTTAAGCAATATACTAGCTCTTAATGGTTCAGACATCTTACTGGTTTAACACTTAATGGTTCAGACCTCTTACTGGTTCAGCACTTACACATTCAGAAGTTGCCAAACAGCCCCATAGTTGGTAGCGGAGAGTATTGGTATAGAACCAAACAGTTTGTGAGTAACGATTTGAATTATTAAATTTCAAAATATTAACGCAAAATTACACATTCTTTAGAGTATTTGTGTGAATTTTTCCTAGTTAGGTGGTATAAAAAAGTGAGAGCATGTAGCAACTAGCAAGGCATGACAGAATTCCGGTTGAGTTCTTAAGAGTCAAATCGGACGGGACTGTGTTGTCAATCGCGCATTTCAAAATTGAAAAGGATACCATTTTCGTCAATTACAATTAATTAATGAGCTGACTACATATATAATGTGTTCATGAATGTATGTATGTATGTATGGGTAGGTCAACATTTTTCGCTCTCCTCTTTTTCCTCATCTCTGTCTCTGTCTGTCTGGTTACCAAATCAGTTGGGTCTCCTCTCTCATTATTTGGTCATCATCATCAATTTCCCACTTCCCTCTCCTCTCCTGCATGCTCCCTTTTCATTTGATGAAGTTCACTAATGGATTCCTAAAAGTTGACTTTCTTCCTTCATTATATTCTCTCCTATCCTAGAGAATTTTTCTGATTTTTTTATTTTTAAAATATTAAAAGTAAGCGTATTTTGGTGTTAACTTTCTAAAAATGCATTTAGATGAGATGGATAAAAAATAGATGTGATGGATAGATTAATAGTGAAAAGGTGTGATGTGATATACTCCCTCTGTCCACAAATAAACTTTACGTTCACTATTCACAGGGTCAAACTTTATTCACTTTGTTGGCCTATTTTCGTCACTCATTTGATAAAATAACATAGTCATGTCACCTCTAGTTTTGTAGATCTTTTGACATAGTTTTTTAATATGTAATTTTTATTTTTCAATTCTACACCATTTTTCATATAAAATGATTTGAAAATAACTTCAGTCAAACATTGTAACGCGTAATGTAAAGTTTATTTGTAGACGGAGGGAGTATAAGTTAAGAATTAGTAATAATAAAAGTGAGTTTTTAAGAGAAAGAAGATTTTCTTTTTGAGACAGATGAACAACAAAATAAGAAAGATTTTGGGCGGTGGAGGGAGTAGATCACTCCAACCCTTCATAATTAACCTTCTAGTATGATTTTTAAGACATAATCTTGGTCTCAAAAAACCCATCATCTACTGAGTACTCCATTTGTCTATTGAATACTTTTTTACTTTCTTTTTTATGTTGTTCAAATTTTTTTTATTCATTTTCTATTTTGGAAACTTTTAATGAATGTCTTGTTATATTTTCACTTTTCATTTAGACTATTCACTTGATTTCATCACAGATAATACATGAAAAGACTTTACATTTTTTTAACTTTTATTAATTTCTGAGCCAAGTCTAATCCGGAAAGTGATGATTTTGGACGGATGAAGCATTAAATACTCCCTCCATCCTATATTGGATGCTACACTTTGAACAACGTACAAAATCTTATCATTTTTAAAATTATTTTAATTATAAATTAGTATAAAAATAAAACGTATAAATTACACCATTTAAAAGTACATAAAAAATTCTACTCCATATAAAACAAGAACTGAGAAGAATATTTTATTTTATCAAATTATCAATTAAAAGTATAAAAACAAACAAAAGTTATCAATAAGCTGTAATAGTACGTGACAATGACATTAAATTCGGGACAAAGAGTGTATTAAGAGATATAATCGAGAAGAGTGTATTTTAGTTCTAATTTTTTAAAAATTAAATTAAATGTGATGAGTAAAATCATGATGTGTGAGAGATCTCGTCCCTAAAAATCCATCCTTCATGTATTTTAAGAAATACAAGAGGAATATATTTTAACGTGACTCTCTACAAAATACTCTTGGATATGAAGAGTAAACATATGATATGAATTTGTCTTCA